CCCCAGTTTAGTTTCTGTTGTGTTGTTAGGACTCTTCCCAACCCCAGTTTAGTTTCTGTTGTGTCGTTAGGACTCTTTCCAACCCCAGTTTAGTTTCTGTTGTGTTGTTAGGACTCTTTCCAACCCCAGTTTAGTTTCTGTTGTGTCGTTAGGACTCTTTCCAACCCCAGTTTAGTTTCTGTTGTGTTGTTAGGACTCTTTCCAACCCCAGTTTAGTTTCTGTTGTGTCGTTAGGACTCTTTCCAACCCCAGTTTAGTTTCTGTTGTGTCGTTAGGACTCTTTCCAACCCCAGTTTAGTTTCTGTTGTGTTGTTAGGACTCTTTCCAACCCCAGTTTAGTTTCTGTTGTGTTGTTAGGACTCTTTCCAACCCCAGTTTAGTTTCTGTTGTGTCGTTAGGACTCTTTCCAACCCCAGTTTAGTTTCTGTTGTGTCGTTAGGACTCTTTCCAACCCCAGTTTAGTTTCTGTTGTGTTGTTAGGACTCTTTCCAACCCCAGTTTAGTTTCTGTTGTGTTAGGACTCTTTACAACACCAGTTTAGTTTCTGTTGTGTTGGTAGGACTCTTTCCAACCCCAGTTTAGTTTCTGTTGTGTCGTTAGGACTCTTTCCAACCCCAGTTTAGTTTCTGTTGTGTCGTTAGGACTCTTTCCAACCCCAGTTTAGTTTCTGTTGTGTTGTTAGGACTCTTTCCAACCCCAGTTTAGTTTCTGTTGTGTCGTTAGGACTCTTTCCAACCCCAGTTTAGTTTCTGTTGTGTTAGGACTCTTTCCAACCCCAGTTTAGTTTCTGTTGTGTCGTTAGGACTCTTTTCAACCCCAGTTTAGTTTCTGTTGTGTTGTTAGGACTCTTTCCAACCCCAGTTTAGTTTCTGTTGTGTTGTTAGGACTCTTTCCAACCCCAGTTTAGTTTCTGTTGTGTTGTTAGGACTCTTTCCAACCCCAGTTTAGTTTCTGTTGTGTCGTTAGGACTCTTTTCAACCCCAGTTTAGTTTCTGTTGTGTTGTTAGGACTCTTTCCAACCCCATTTTAGTTTCTGTTGTGTCGTTATGACTCTTTTCAACCCCAGTTTAGTTTCTGTTGTGTTGTTAGGACTCTTTCCAACCCCAGTTTAGTTTCTGTTGTGTTGTTAGGACTCTTTCCAACCCCAGTTTAGTTTCTGTTGTGTCGTTAGGACTCTTTCCAACCCCAGTTTAGTTTCTGTTGTGTTGTTAGGACTCTTTCCAACCCCAGTTTAGTTTATGTTGTGTTGTTAGGACTCTTTCCAACCCCAGTTTAGTTTCTGTTGTGTTGTTAGGACTCTTTCCAACCCCAGTTTAGTTTCTGTTGTGTCGTTAGGACTCTTTCCAACCCCAGTTTAGTTTCTGTTGTGTCGTTAGGACTCTTTCCAACCCCAGTTTAGTTTCTGTTGTGTTGTTAGGACTCTTTCCAACCCCAGTTTAGTTTCTGTTGTGTCGTTAGGACTCTTTCCAACCCCAGTTTAGTTTCTGTTGTGTTGTTAGGACTCTTTCCAACCCCAGTTTAGTTTCTGTTGTGTCGTTAGGACTCTTTTCAACCCCAGTTTAGTTTCTATTGTGTTGTTAGGACTCTTTCCAACCCCAGTTTAGTTTCTGTTGTGTCGTTGGGACTCTTTCCAACCCCAGTTTAGTTTCTGTTGTGTTGTTAGGACTCTTTCCAACCCCAGTTTAGTTTCTGTTGTGTTGTTAGGACTCTTTCCAACCCCAGTTTAGTTTCTGTTGTGTGTTAGGACTCTTTCCAACCCCAGTTTAGTTTCTGTTGTGTTGTTAGGACTCTTTCCAACCCCAGTTTAGTTTCTGTTGTGTTGTTAGGACTCTTTCCAACCCCAGTTTAGTTTCTGTTGTGTTGTTAGGACTCTTTCCAACCCCAGTTTAGTTTCTGTTGTGTTGTTAGGACTCTTTCCAACCCCAGTTTAGTTTCTGTTGTGTCGTTAGGACTCTTTCCAACCCCAGTTTAGTTTCTGTTGTGTCGTTAGGACTCTTTCCAACCCCAGTTTAGTTTCTGTTGTGTTGTTAGGACTCTTTCCAACCCCAGTTTAGTTTCTGTTGTGTTGTTAGGACTCTTTCCAACCCCAGTTTAGTTTCTGTTGTGTTGTTAGGACTCTTTCCAACCCCAGTTTAGTTTCTGTTGTGTCGTTGGGACTCTTTCCAACCCCAGTTTAGGTTCTGTTGTGTGTTGTTTCAACCCCCCAGTTCCAGTGAAATTCAGCGCAGCAGCCAGTCAGACAGTGGCTGTAGCCAAGCCATTCATTAGACAGAAAGAGTGGCTGTGTGAACCCTTTTTTTTTCCATTGTGAAAGGGTCTCAGTCAATCCCAGTCGCATCCAGTTCTCTGTCATTACTGCAATTCCGTCAATTAAGAGACTGTTGATGAACGATTTAGTCCACATACCAAATGGCACCCTATCCCCTATGTAGTGCACTGCTTTTGAGCAGGGGCCATAGGGCACTGGTAGAAAGTAGTGCACTAGATAGGAAATAGGGTGCCATTTGGGATTCTGTAAAAAAAAAGAACAAAACCCGTTTTATGCTAATTTTGTGTTTAAACAGTTTCAATAAAGCCTAGCCTATGACATCACATCTTCATTAAAGACAAACCTTTTCTCATTTTGTCTTCTGTTCTCTCGTGTGTTGTTTGTTCGTCACGGTTACGCTTTTAAAGATGTACAGCCTGGTTTATTTGACTGTAATTTCAACCACTCACACACCTGACACAGACTTGAGTGGTCGAAAAACGTTGTCAAATAAACCATTGACATTGTAGTATAGATAAAATGCAGTGTGCGGGGGTCTGTTTTCATATTTTATTGAAAAATGTTTGATACCCAGCACCTGCTCAGAGACAATGGACATACAGTGCATTCGGAAAGTATTTTGACCCCTTGACTTTTTCCACATTTTGTTACATTACAACCTTATTCTAAAATGTATTAAATAAATGTTTTTCCTTATCAATCTTCACACAATGCCCCATAATGACAAAGTAAAAACATGTTTTTAGAAATGTTTGCAAATTTATAAAAAAACTAAACAGAAATAGCTTATTTACATAAGTATTCAGACCCTTTGCTATGATACACAAAACTGAGCTCAGGTGCATCCAATTTCCATCCTGTTTCCGTTGATCATCCTGTTTCTACAACTTGATTGGAGTCCACCTGTGGTAAATTCAATTGATTGGACATTATTTGGAAAGGCACACACCTGTCTATATAAGGTCCCACAGTTGACAGTGCATGCCAGACCAAAAACCAAGCCATGAGGTCGAAGGAATTGTCCGTAGAGCTCCGAGACAGGATTGTGTGGAGGCACAGATCTGGAGAAGGGTACCAAAACATTTCTGCAGCATTGAAGGTCCCCAAGAACACAGTGGCCTCCATCATTCTTAAATGGAAGAAGTTTGGAACTTCCAAGAATCTTCCTAGAGCTGGCCGCCCGGCCAAACTGAGCAATCGGGGGAGAAGGGCCTTGGTCAGGGAGGTGACCAAGAACCCAATGGTCACTCTGACAGATGGGAGAACCTTCCAGAAGGACAAACATCTCTGCAGCACTCCACCAATCAGGCATTTATGGTAGAGTGGCCAGACGGAAGCCACTCCTCAGTAAAAGGCACATGACAGCCCACTTGGAGTTTGCCAAAATGCACTTAAGGAATTCTCAGACCTTGAGAAACAAGATTCTCTGGTCTGATGAACTCTTTGGCCTGAATGCCAATCGTCACGTCTGGAGGAAACCTGGCACCATCCCTACGGTGAAGCATGGTGGTGGCAGCATCATGCTGTGGGGATGTTTTTCAGTGGCAGGGACTGGGAGACTAGTCAGGATCAAGGGAAAGATGAACGGAGCAAAGTACAGAGAGATTTTTGATAAAAACCTGCTCCAGACCGCTCAGGATCTCAGACTAGGGCGAAGGTTCACCTTCCAACAGGACAACGACCCTAACCACACAGCCAAGACAAGGCAGGAGTGGCTTCGGGACAAGTCTCTGAATGTCCTTGAGTGACCCAGCCAGAGCCCGGACTTGAACCCGATCGAACATCTCTGGAGAGACCTGAAAATAGCTGTGCAGCGATGCTCCCCATCCAACCTGACAGAGCTTGAGAGGATCTGCAGAGAAGAATGGGAGAAACTCCCCAAATACAGGTGTGCCAAGCTTGTAGCGTCATACCCAAGAAGACTCGATGCTGTAATCGCTGCGAAAGGTGCTTCAACAAAGTACTGAGTAAAGGGTCTGAATACTTATGTAAATATAATATTTCAGGGTAAAAAATAAACAAAAAATGCAACTAATTCTAAAAACCAGTTTTAACGTTGTCATTATGGGGTATTGTGTGTAGATTGATGAGGGGGGGGGGGAAACAATTTAATCAATTTTAGAATAAGGCTGTAACGTAACAAAATGTGGAAAAAGTAAAGGGGTCTGAATACTTTCCGAATGCGCTGTATGTACTGGTATGTAATCTTTTCCTAGAGAATACTTACGGAGCTTCACACTTGGCAAAGGATCCCTTGGAGTCCTTCCCACAGTTCCCATAGGGATCTCCTGCTGAGTTGACTCTCTCAAAGCAGATCCCTGGGGCTGGCTTGGCTCCTATCAGGCATACACGGGGACACATAACATCAAGACACACTGTAACTCCTTGGCTTTATCTGATTTATCAAGACTCCTCCTTGGCATTATCTGGCTTGAGTCTTTCTGTGATTCCTCACATCCTCTCTCCTCACCTCCTTCTCAAACCCATTGGGGGGAGCAGTTTCAAGGCTCCTCTCCTCTGACATCGCATCCGTGTTTTGAGAAGAAGACTAGGATAGAGGTTGCCAGGAATCCACATCTTCTCTCTAAGTGTTGTACAACTGCTTATTCACTCCTAACTGCGGGAGTTTTCCCACCGAGACTTCTGGAAAACCTGGGAATTTTTTGGAGAGTTTATAGAATTTCACATTCCCTGCTCTCCACTCACCCTGGCCCCAGAGAGTGATGCACTGCTGCTCGTGTGTCTGGCAGATGCCGTTGTAGCAGTGTCCGTCCATTGTGGGAGGTGGCCCGGCAGGTTAAAATTAAGGGGGGGGGGGCCGGACAGAATGGAGGTACAAGTTCGGAACCCGCAGGGGGCCCGTGGTTTAAAAGGGAGGAAACAGAAACAGACCGCAGAAAAGAAACCGGCCGGGGGCGGCAGGGAAAACAGACAGGGAAAAAAGAAAGGACAGGCCGGGTAAAGGGGGGGGAGGCCTAGAGGCAGGGGGGAATAAAGGGAACAAAAACTTTAACTTTTCCTAAATTTAAAAATACCCAAAAAATGATTTAAAATAACCAAAAAACCCCAAAAAAAAGAATTAAATTAAAAAAAAATAAATAAAAGAGAAAGGGAAAAAAAAAAAAGAATAGCATTAAGAGGGTTTTTAGAGGTGGGTGGTAGGGGGGGGGAGGGGGGGTTTGGGTTTTGAGGGGAGTGGGGGGGGGGTGGGGGGGGAAGGTTTAGGTGGGGGGGGGGGTGAGGTGGGGGGGGGGGATATTTAGGATAGGCCACCCCTTCAACCTGTTTAAGGGGGCCCAAAATAAATTTTAAAAAAATTGATTGAAATTAAACCCTTTCCCCTCGTCTTTACCCCAAATCGAGCCTTTTGTGGAAAAAATTTGTTGGGAAGGTTTTTGAAAGGGTGGGTTTTTTTTTGGGGGGGGGGGGGGAGGGGGGGGGGGGAGAGGGGGGGGGGGGGGGGGGGGGGAGAGGGGGGGGAAAGGGGGGGGGGGAGGGGAAAAGGGGGGGAGGGGGGAAAAGGGGGGGGAAAAAAGGGGGAAAAAGGGGGGAAAAGGGGGGGGGGGGAAGGGAAAAAGGGAGGGGGAAGGGGGGGGGGGAAGGGGGGGGGGGGAAGAGGGGGGGAAGGGGGGGGGGGAAGAGGGGAGGGGGGGGAGGGGGAGGGGGGAGGGGAGGAAGGAGGGGGGAGGGGGGAGGGAGGGGAAGAAGGGGAGAGGGGAAGAGGGGGGGGGGGGGAGGAAAGGGGGGGGGGGGGAGGGGGGGGGGGGGGGGAGGGGAGGGGGGGAGGGGGAGGGGAAAAGGGGGGAGGGGGGGGGGGGAGAGGGGGAGAGGGGGAGGGGGGGGGGGGGGGGGGGTTTTTTTTTTTTTGGGGGGGGGGGGGGGGGGGGGGGGGGGGGGGGGGGGGGGGGGGGGGGGGGGGGGGGGGGGGGGGGGGGGGGGGGGGTGGGGGGGGGGGGGGGGGGGGGGGGGGGGGGGGGGGGGGGGGGGGGGGGGGGGGGGGGGGGGGGGAAAAAGGGGGGGGGGGGGGGGGGGGGGGGGGGGGGGGGGGGGGGGGGGGGGGAAAAAAGGGGGGGGGGGGGGGGGGGGGGGGGGGGGGGGGGGGGGGGGGGGGGGGGGGGGGGGGGGGGGGGGGGGGGGGGGGGGGGGGGGGGGGGGGGGGGGGTGGGGGGCCCGGGGGGGGGGGGGGGGGGGTGGGGGGGAGGGGGGGGGGGGGGGGGGGGGGGGGAGGCGGGGGGGGGGGGGGGGGGGGGGGGGGGGGGGGGGGGGGGCAGGGGGGGGGGGGGGGGGGGGAAGGGGGGGGGGGGGGGGGAAAAAAGGGGGGGGGGGGGGGGGGGGCGGGGGGGGGGGGGGGGGGGGGGGGGGGGGGGGGGGGGGGGGGGGGGGCGGGGGGGGGGGGGGGGGGGGGGGGGGGGGGGGGGGGGGGGGGGGGGGGGGCGGGGGGGGGGGGGGGGGGGGGGGGGGGGGGGGGGGGGGGGGGGGGGGGGGGGGGGGGGGGGGGGGGGGGGGGGGGGGGGGGGGGGGGCGGGGGTGGGGGGGGGGGGGGGGGGGGGGGGGGGGGGGGGGGGGGGGGAAGAGGGGGGGGGGGGGAAGGGGGGGGGGGGGAAAACAAGGGGGGGGGGGGGGCCAAAAAAAAACCAAAAAAAAAAGCCCCCGTTAGATTTCATCAGAACTCCGCTCTAATTATCAGAGGGACCCCCCCGCCAGGCCTATACTTTCCTTCCCCCCTCACGGCAGAGGTCAGCAGTCGGAAGCCTTTTTTCCTAGAAGGATTTCTTCAACAACAGCTTCCGACAGGGAACACAATCCCAGGTCCCCTTTGAGAACATATTCGTGGAACAGTGGAGTAGTACAGGGTCAATTAACATACAAAACCCTCCCTTTCTCCCAAACAGCAGCTCGAACACTACACTTACCAAATCGCGCTCGGGAAAACCCTCATCTCCCCAACAGCAGCTCTGGAACCCTGCAATCTACCAATCAGCAGCTCTGGAACCCTGCAATCTACCAATCAGCAGCTCAGGAACCCCGCCTTCCCAAACAGAGCTAGGAACCCTCCTCTCCCAATCAGCCTCTGGAACCCTCCAATCTCCCACGAGTTTGGACCCCACTCTCCCCAATAAGTCAGGAACCGCCTTCCCAATCAGCGTTTGGAACCCTGCATTACCAATCCGCTCTGGAATCATGCACTCTACCAATCAGCAGCTCTGGAAACCCACACTTCCCCAAAACGCAGTCGGGAACCCGCATCCCCAAATCAGCAGTTTGGGAAACCCCTTTCACTTACCAACAGCCCTTGGAATCATACTCTACCAATCACACCTGGAACCCTGCACGACAATCGCAGCTCTGGAATATGCCCTCCCAAATCAGCGCTCGGAATCATGCATTTCCCCAAACAGAGCCTGGAAACCCCGGAAATCCCCAACAGCCTCGGAACCCTGAAAGTACCAATAGCCCGGGAACCCCTCACTGTACCAATCAGCAACTCTCTGGTTCTCCTCTCAGTCTGATGGAGATGGATGGGAGGGGAGCGGGGGGGCGGGGTAAACCCCCCCCATTTTCAGCTCTGTTTTTAGCAAATGAGTTTTCCCTTTCCCTTTCCCCCGTTCCTTTAACCCCAGTTGAAAGGGCTGGATTTGGGAGTGGGGCTGTGGGAAAGCGGGCCCAGGGGCGGGGAGAGAGCAGAGAGCTGACACCACTATGGTTGACACCACAGATTTTTCCCCTTTCCAAAAAAAGCCCCCCCCCTTTTCCCCTTTTTTTCCCCCCTTTTTCCCTGTTCTTTCCCCCAAGGGCCTTTTGGGGAAATAGGGAGGGAGTGGGGAGAGTCCACCTAAGAAAGGCACTTGGGGGAAAGGGAACGACGCGGGGTTTTTTAATGAACCCCGGGCGACCGTGGTGGCGGCCTCAGAGATGTTCTGTGGTCATCTGTCTGCACCTCCTGTACGCTCTGATCTGCTAGTCCAGTTAGGCTTCACTCTGCTCTGTTCTCCTCTCCTCTGATCTGTGGGCCAGTTGGGTTTTTCACTCTCTCTTTTTCTCCTCTCCCCCTGATCGGCTGGGCCATTTTTAGGCTTCCTCTGCTCGGGTTCCCCTCTCCTCTGATCTGCAAAATCCATTTAGCTTCACTCTGCTCTTTTTCTCCTCTCCTCTGTTTCTCTAGCCCCTTGGGTTTTCATTTTGGCCTTTTTCCTCTCCTCTGACCCTGCTAGTCCTTTAGGTTTTCACTCTCTCGTTCTCCTCTCCTCTATCTGCACCCATTTGGGCTTCACTCTGTTTCTTTTCTCCCCTCCTCTGATCTGCTGTCCATTTAGGTTCACTTGCTCTTTTCTCCTCTCCCTGTCTCCCTAGTCCTTAGGCTTCACTCTGCTCTTTTCTCCTCCCCTCTTCTCTGATTTTCTACCGTTAGGTTCCTCTGCCCCCTTTTCTCCTTCCTCGACTGCAGCCCTTTGGGCTTCACTCTCCTGGGTTCTCCCCCCTCCTCGGGATCTGCTAGTCCAGTTGGGGCCCTCCACTTTTCTGGGTTTCCTCCCCTGACCCTGCTATCCGTTAGGCTTCACTCTGCTCTGTTCTCCTCTCCTCTGATCTGCTAGTCCAGTTAGGCTTCACTCGGTGGGTTTCTCCCTCCTCTGATCGGGGCTAGTCCTTTAAAGGCTTCACCGCCTGTTCTCCTCTCCTTTATCTGCGTCCAGTTAGGCTTCACCCCTGCTTTTTTCCCCCCCCCCCGCCCCCCCCCTCCCCCCCCCCCCCCCCCCCTTTGATCTGCTAGTCCAGTTGGGCCCTTCACTCGGGCTCTGTTCTTCCTCTGTTTCGGGCTATCCGTTGGGCTTCACTCTGCTCTGTTCTCCTTCCTCTTCTCGGATTGCTACCCCGTTGGGTTTTCCCCTCTGCTTTTTTCCCTCCTCTCCCTGATCTGCTATCCTTAGGCTTCACTTTTCCCCTTTTCTCCTCTCCTCTCCTTTTATCTGCTAGCCCCAGTTAGGTTTTCATCTGTTTCTGCCCCCTCCCTCCTCGATCTGCTGGGTCCTTTGGCTTCACTCTCCCCTCTTTCTCCCTCCTCTGATCTGCTAGTCCAGTTAGGCTTCACTCTGCTCTTTTCTCCTCTCCCCCTCTGATCTGCTAGTCCAGTTAGGCTTCACTCTGCTCTGTTCTCTCCTCTGATCTTAGTCCATTTGCTTGGTTCTCTGCTCTCTGATTGCTAGTCCATTAGGCTATCCTCCTGCTCGCCCTCTGACTGAGGCTGACAGGTCCAGGGACACAGCAGGACTGTCTCCCCAGGCGACGGGGCAGGGACCGAGTAGGATGGCATCTGCTCGGACCGCGACGAGCTAGCCAGTGAAGGCTCACGGCTAGGATCCTCGATGAGTCCAGTTGGGACGTTTGCGACCACATCGGTTACAGCTGACTGGGATTAGGAGACAGGAACGTGGGCAACAGGCCGCAGGAGTCATACAGCAGTGACTTGGGACAGGGACGGGGACAGGGAAGGACAAGGACAGGGACAGGGACAGGACAGGACAGGACAGGACAGGACAGGACAGGACAGGACAGGGACAGGGACAGGGACAGGGACAGGACAGGGACAGGGACAGGACAGGGACAGGGACAGGGACAGGAGAGGGACAGGGACAGGGACAGGGACAAGGAGAGGAGAGGGAGAGGGAGAGGGAGAGGGAGAGGGACAGGGACAAGGAGAGGAGAGGGAGAGGGAGAGGGAGAGGGAGAGGAACA